CCGATGTGAGTCTAGAAGGTAGCAGAGATCTAGGCTTCAGGGACTTATTGATTATTTATGTCTGGCATATCAGGCATATTGTTTTTTCCAGTTATTAATTGCTCAGTTGAAGAAAACGCATCTGCTATGTTGGCCAGTGTAGATGCAAGTAAAAGGCATTGAAAAAATTCTCTGTGCTCTGATTTATTGGTTCCCAAACTTTGGTCCATAGATAAATAATGGTATACAAGGTAGCTTTAAGTGATCTGCAGCCAGTCTTCGGAGAGGTGCTGCACAGTAAATAATGTATTTTATTACAAAGATTTAAAGGTTAAAGGCTTTTGAGGGTGAGAAGCAGTGTGCTGAGTACTGCTGCTCGAGTGGAACAAGAGGAAAGCTGAACTGCTTGGGGGGGACCAGGGAGGTCGAGCAGTCCCCTTTGATCCCTGAGAACAGGTTACAGTTCCTGTATCCTAAAGCAAATTTGCTAAATCACTTGGTGTTTCTGCTGCAACAGATTTCCTGGCCCAGAGTTCTTTCTTTATAAAGCTCTGTCTCCTCCTGGTTTTCCAGTGCTTGCTAAATGTACTGATCTGTACAGAGGCACAGAGGCATGTAATTCATTCTCCTGGGAAGATCCATTTTCCCCTCACTGCCAGACTACAGTCATTTTCCATCCATTTTGCTTTCTAAAAGCTCCTCTTTTCTCTCTACTTCATCAGTTACCTCACTAACATGGCTACCATTTCCTTATTTGTTTGGTTTTGGTTTTTTTTTTTCATTAGGTGAGAGAAGTGTTTGGGCAGTGGGTTTTAGCAGCATCATCCAGACACGGGTACAAAACACAGTGATGAGGGACAGAATTAATCACCACGCTAAAATGTTTAATGTTTTGGTTTGATCATTTTGCATCTCACCATTGCATTTCAACTAACAAGAGGTTTCTGTCCTTGACCTACGTGCTTGAACTGTCCGTTAAGGTTTTGCCACACACTGTCATAATCACTAACAACTGCTTGGGTTTGAAGGTAATTGTGTTTATTTTCTGGTTCATGCTTCAGGAAAAATTAAAACTTGATGCTGAGAGGGAAAAACTAGAGAGGCTTCAGGAGCTTTACTCCGAGCAGAAGACGCAGCTTGATAATTGCCCTGAGTCCATGAGGGAACAATTACAGCAGCAGCTGAAGAGGGTCAGTAGCAAGTTTCAAGATTGCACTAACTTTTTTTTTGTTGATTTTTTTTTCTTAATTTTTTATTTTTACATAGAGTTAAGTGTAACGTATTCTGTTTCAAGTATCTAGTGTCTGAACGTATTTGCAACTTACTGTTAATAGTCACAAGGGTTATGGTTTTTTGTGCAATGCTTGTAATAGGTAACGTAGAGTGCAAATGGGCGGATTAGAAATCATTTTGTGTTGAATGTTTTTAAAGCTTTGGGTTACTTGCCTGTAATTAGCACCTTAGGTTTGCTGCATGGAGTGGAAGCTGTGTGATATTTAGATGGATGGTGGAGCATCGCTCTTCACCTGCGTGAGCAAAGACAGGAATGGAACTTTGGTCAGTGGGATCAGCCATTTTAGCAGCACTTCCCTGCCGCTGTTGTTTGATCCTGTTGTGTACTTCTCCTTTGTAATGCTGTAAAGGGCTGTCTCGCTGAAGCCATGGCTGACTTCTTTTTTTCAATATATAACTTAGCTGTTAGCCTGAACTGTGCTTTGAAAGATTCATTTTGAAGATTGTACCACTTATTAAAAATAGCTTTATTTTTTCTATGTTTTCAACAGCTGCACGTTGGTATATTAACCTTTGCATAAAGTCTAATTGCAACTTGATTTTATTTCGTAGTATTTGTCTGTGAAGGTACAGTTATTTTCTGAGGAAAGATTTTAGTATTCATTAATATTAAGTGGGTTCTACAGCATATATAGTTAGCTTTAGTGGGGGAGAAATAATTTTCAAAGCATCAGTACAGCAAGCTCAAGAGGCCACCTGAAAGTTAAACTAGGTTTTTTAAATTATTTTTCTGGCTTGAGTGTTTATATCGGGAATAAGACCTGTAATAGCAGTGAGCAAAAAAGGTCTTTTTTGCTTTATAGGAAATATTCTTTAGATTTTGGTTTATTTGCAGAACTCTATTTTCTTTTTTTCAGAGGGCAAAAAGTGAAAAAGTCTAGCTTTGGAAAGAACAATGTTCAATTCTTCTGTAGTAACTGAGAAGTTTGCTGGGTTTGATACACTTAAGGATTTTTGCAAGTTACCTTTTTTCTTTTTTTTAAAAAAAGGGCAGCATTATGTAATATCTCATATGTATTAAAAGGAAAGGAAGCCTCTCCTGTGCAGTCACATACTTGAAGGTATGAATTCATGAGAAGTTGCAGTCTTGTTCCTGTGGGATGGTAGTAAATCGTTTTTCACTATTGACCACCAAGAGGCTTCAAGAAATCTGTTTGCTTAATTTTTTTAATTATTTTTTTTTTCCTTCCAAGTTGGGTTAATAACAACTTGGATTTGAAAGTGGGACAAAATTTGAACTGTGGGCGTGCAGTTAAATGTCCAGTCAGTCCTATAGCGTGTTATTCCAGGGCAATTGTTGTGAAAATTAGCTGTGCCTGCTGTGGTTGAAACAGAAGAAGTTATTGCCGAATTAGCGCATAGTAGCTCTCAAACGAGTATCAAGTGTGAGAACAGTTGTGAAATTACTGTGAGTATCATACTCAGAGAAAATATCTTTTTCGCCCAAAATAAGCCCGGTACAGGGTTAAATACCTGACTCTGCAGCAGGTTATGTTGTGCTACATTACTGCTAATGCGGAAGGTATGAAGGTGATGAATTCCCTTATTGCTTCATCTCTGGGACTTCAGTAACTTCATAATTTGTGCCCTGGGGCGAAGGCAGACAAATTCACTGCAGCCCCTGGCTGGGTGGGGGTCTGGGGTTGGGGTTGGCAGCGAGCAGCGGGCTCAGTCTATATGCTTCCTGGTGCCCGTAATGAATATACGCTTTGTCTGTTGGGTAGGAAGGATGCTTCATCAGAGACTGGTGAAACCTGAGGGTTTGTGGAAGGCACTGAGGGAAAGCATTGATCTTCTCGATGGCTTATGTAAAGTTAATTAGCATGCTTCATCTTGCACTGTTAGTATGAAAGCACCAAAGCTTGTTTGTTCTCATGTGCCGGGGTTTATAGAGATAGGTGTAAATGGAGAATGAGAATAGATGCCTGGATTCCTGCAGACATCTGAAAAGACACTGTTCATTTGTAGGAAATATCTTACTTTTCAAATAAAATTCTCCTGATTTTTACAGATGATGTGGGCCCATGGAGCTCCCACCACATCCTGAAGTACGGGTCAGGTTCTCTCCCACTGAATTTTCTCCAGTGCCATTACTGAAGTAATAGAGATGCAGGAGAAATTTATGGTTTGGAAAACCAATATGGAAACATTGTGTCTGTTGTTTATTCATAGACTATAAGTTACAATATTTTGATGTCCATTGTTTCAATAAAAGGGAAGGAATACACTTGCTACTCAGTTCAGGAAGCCATTACCTACAGCAAGAACCATTATCCTCCTACAAATCCTACGCTGCTGAGTAGGATCCTTGTGAAGGTTACGGCAAGGAGTCTGTGGGCACATCTGGGAGCCAGATCTTGTGCCCTGTTCTGCAGGCTGCCCGTGGTCTGGGTCCCCGTGGGCCAGCCTGGCTGGTGGTCTTGCTGCAAGGTGCTGGCAAGCCCAGGTAGAGCTAAGATAGAGCCACTTACCCTTTGGAGTGTTTTTAATTTGAAAATGGACTTGGTTTCAAATTGGGTACGTTTATTTTTCCCTGGTGGACGCAGTGGTATAGAATGTGGTGAAATTCTTGTTCCATAGCACGTCTCACAAAGAATATAGTGTTTTGTGAGCTGAGCTGGTTACCAGTTGCCTTTCTGGCTATCGGTTGCCTTCTCTGAAGTCTGTTCTTCTGCCTCGGTAGCAGTGATGTGAAATAGTGAATTTGTTGACTTCCATGGCCCAGGCAAAGCCCTTCTGTTTTGAATGCTGAAGATGGCTGACTGGTTTGAATGAAACATTTCTGTTCTGTAGGTAACTGCTTTCTTGTAATTTTTAGTTCAAACCTTTGCTTTTGATCTCTTCGCTATCTGCTACAAGTGAAAGGCACATCTTTGGAGAATAATGGGAAGATGTTGGTATTTCATATAGTTACTTGGATTCTTCAGTTTCAGCATCCCATGTCTTTCCCTGGTACATTGGAAGCTGGTTTTGAATGCCTTTATAGAGACCTATCTGCTTATCTCAGTCGCTAAGCTTTGCCTTAGATCAAAATAAGAAAAGGAGTAAGTTTACATTTCTCTCAAATGATAAATTGCTTACAGATGTAGGTTTTCTCGCATAACAAGCTATGTACAATGTGCCTATTTTAGAGAGCATTAGCATTTAATAATACTGCAATTATTAAAAACAGTCTTTTCTTCAGAACTCTGGAACTTGTAAGTAGGAATTCATATTATGAATACACAGATGTTGCAGGAGAAAGATCAGCATGCAGTTCTTGTGCTGAAAAGCACCATAAGTTTTATCTCATCATCCCTAAGTGGAAGGCAAGTGTGTTCTTCTTTCTTGGGTCTTTTCTACAGCATTCAACCTCTTCTTCCTGACAAAACCTGGCGTTGGTCCAGGGGAATGCATAAAAGTGGGATGATACCTTTTATGAAGTAATATACCTCCTGGCTAGGGTGGATGCCTAGGGTCCCGAATTGTATGTTTGCACCAGGAGCAATTGTCAGCTCCAATTCGGTGGTCCATGATCAGCCTCGGGCTGAGCTACTTGCATGGTTGGACGTCACTGCTGAGGTGATGGCACACAACTCCGCTTATCTTCTGTCTTACCTAACTCTGTGTCTGTTAATAAAAAAGGTGCTGGTACTTGGGCTAGACCTGAAGAAATTCTAACTGCAGTTCTTACTCCTTCGTTTGAGTGTGCATCCCCATCATTAGTTACTTCAGTGTGCAGTTCTCCGGTGTTACTGGGATGATACTTGCTGTCCTTTTTGGTTGGTAAGCAGATGCTCTCCCAGTTTGGAATGATCTGCCCAGCCAGGGAGTCCTCAGTGCTTAGAAGGCTCCAGCTTGCTCTGAACCCTGCAAACCAGCTCCCTCACCATGCAGGTGCTTCGTCTTTCTCAGCGGGGTCGGAATGGACAGTAGGAGCGATGGAGAAAGCAACATCAAAATAATGATTATCCCTATTTGCTCTGTTACTGTGACAGTAGGCCATTAAAAGCAGTGAGCTCCTGTTTGAACATGCTGTATGAGATACGTAAAGGCCATTTTAGACCGATTTTTGTGTTTGTAAGTATCTCTGCTCTGGTGTCAGTGCAAGCATGATTGCTTTTTTTTTTGTTTGTTTGGTTTTTTTTTGTTTTTTTTTTTGCTTAAGGATGATGTGTGTTTGGACATAGAAAGCAAGCACTTTGAAGATTTGGAATTTCAGCAGCTTGAACATGAAAGCAGGTTAGATGAAGAGAAAGAAAATCTGACACAACAGCTCCTGCGTGAAGTAGCTGAATATCAGCGCAGCATTGTCAGTAGAAAGGTAAAAGCGCTAACACTCGATTCATTTGTTCTTTGTTGTTGAGGATAAAGGAGATGAAATGGATCTACAACCTGCCCATCTGTAAGAAATAACACAGAACTTTCCTCTTTAAAAAAATTTTTGAGACAGAGCAAAGAAGATGGCCCAGTAACATCCCACACAGATCAAATCATGCACTTCTCCAAAAGGAAATAAGTGAATAAAATTCCATGCCCTGATTGTATATTTGCATATAACAATTAAACCCTTTAATTTACTATAAAAAGTACCAAAGCGTTTTTTCTTTAGAAAGGAGATTTGTATACTCTGGACAAAACTACAGTTATTTTATGCTCATGATTCATGTTGAAGTTAAATGATTTTGTTAAAAAATAATAATAGAACACCAAATTAAGAAAATACCTTAATTTTTAAAGTTGGTTGTAAAGGTCCTATCTCAACCAATTAAAACCCAGTTTTTCAGAGATCAGAAGTTGCATCTCTAAACCAGTTCTGTTCAGTATATGGATGCTAGTCACTATATTATCAAAGAATATGTGCAATTGTTCTTTTGTTTTGTCTTTTGAATAAATGGTCTCTTTACTGTCTAAATCTTGTTTAATTATCTCCTTCAGAGCAGTGAGCTGTCTTGTAAAAACTTCTTTTCCTGCTGCTTGACTCATATGAATGAGTGAGCTCTCATGAATAGGATCCTTGCTGCAGGTTGTCTTGTGCTTTGAAAATAAAACATGTAATTGTGATTACTCTCTTTTTATATTAGGAAAAGATTTCTGCACTCAAAAAACAAGCCAATCATATTGTCCAACAAGCACAAAGAGAACAAGATCATTTTGTAAAAGAGAAAAACAACTTAATAATGATGCTGCAAAGAGTAAGTAGTTATTGTCTTTCAAAGATTTTTAGCATGTAATAAAAGAGCACTTCATAGAATAAAAGAACATTGAGCACAAGAAAAGCATCAGTTGTGCAGAAGCTGGCAAGTAGGTAATAACGTGATAGACATCATTTGTATCCATTAACCTTTTGAAAAAAAAAAAAAATAAATTTTGTAGTTAATCAGCAGATTTCCTAAGAGAAAGCACTACTGGCATCTGATAATTGAGAGGCTTTGAGGCGTGCCCATTTCCAAGGACTCAACCAGAGGCACCCACCTGGGTGCTGAAGCTAGAAGTTTGTGCTCCCTGCATGGCTACTGGAACTATGCACAGCGAGTTCAGATTTTTGGCTTGTAATAGCCACAAGATGAGCTACCTAACATCAGCTAACATCTGCTTAATAAGAAGCTGGCATGAACCCTTCGTGTCCATTTTATGGTTTGCATTTAATCAGGAGAGAAATCATGTTTAGGTCATTAAGATGAATCAGCATTTTCAAAATGCTGAAGGAAGACCTATTTCATTTGGCTGTGGTTATTAAATAAATTCTTAAAAAAAACTTTCTGTACCTCCATTTTTTGTTCAGTTCTGTTGTAAATGGATGAAGTTGAAGCTCTGCTGTGCAGTTTCTAGCCTTTTATCTTAGTGTGTTTCTTTACACAGTTAAGAAAATGGCTAGCATTTATTTTCACTACATGGCTGTTGGTATTTAACATAAAATGTCTGGTTTTAACAGGAAAAAGAGAATCTCTGTAATCTGGAAAAGAAATATTCGACACTTTCTGGAGGAAAGGGATTTCCTGTCAGTCCCAATAGTCTAAAAGAGGTAAAGAGATTCACTGCTTTTGACTCTACCACAAGTAACTTTTAATAACACTTCGTACAAAAGCACTTTAGTATTTAGTGAAGTCCTATTCGTACAGGGGTTTTTTGAGATGTGATGAAATTACTTTGTAAAGCTATTCATGGAAGTCCAAACGCATGGCTGAGCAAAAATAGCTTCTCTTGACATTTTCCCAGATGTGACTGATATCGCCTTAATGTCTTGCTCTGGAAAAATGGTCGGTTTTATGTGTGTGGGGGATATGTGTGTGTGTGTCTAATTTTCTCAAAGTAGGCAATTAAACCTCATTGAAGTGAAGAACAATGAGGTCCAGGAATAATTTGGACTCTGTTCAAGTACGAATACTGTTCAGTCTTATTTTTGCACTGTAGATTTTTATCATTGCCTCCCCTCCCTTTATTCTAAGGCTCTGCAGTAAAGCATGACAAGTGTGCACTTTGATCTTTTTAAAAAGCATCGAATTGAAGACTTCAAGCTATTGTGGTTGTAAAATATCTATTGAGCTATTTATTTAGCTGGTTTGAATAGTTAGAGTAAGTGGAAAATCTAGCATTTAAAATACACTGACAGGTATCTATGGTTGCTTCATTAACTTCTGCCTAAGAGGTCTGACTGGACTTGCTGGATCTGCTGGTATGGAAACCCCGAACAAGGTCTGCCACATCTAATGATGTAGGTGTCACTGTGGGAAGTTGGGCTCTTGAAGTCTAAATCAACCACATGTCCTTTCAGCACCTGGGAAATGTGATCTTGCAGTTGCACATGCCAGTGGAGTTGAGCATCCTTCCTCACTGCAAGCCATGTTGCAGATGCTTAGACTTTCAGTGTCCTAGGTTGTGTTCTGACCTGGCCTTCTGACCTCCCACCAGAACATCTGGCAAGTCTAAGCTTCATTTTTTTTCATTTTGAGATGGATCTGTTCATTCTCTCTCTAGAGAGTGGGTGCTATCTCTGATTTTTGTCTTTGTGTCCACATAATGGTTTATTTAATCGCAGATATTTCAAAACGCAACTACATTAAGTGAGCCTGGCACTCTTTTTATTGAAATGGATTATTCAGCGGTGTCATTCTGTTCGCTGCAGTGAAGTCAGTTAGGACTTACTCCAAGGCAAACGAGAGAACGAACAGTATGGGTTATCTCTTTCATGCTCGGTGTCCCCATAGGCTCTGTCCTATAAAAGAAATACCTTTCCTTGCCAGATGTTATGTTTGTCTCAGTCCAGCTTAATTTTTCTCTGACTGTTCCAGCATCTTTAAAAATCATGCACCAAATGGTATGCAGACTTAAACAGACTGCCAGCACACAGAAGTTAATTTTACCGTGTGGTTGCTCACCTACTAGTCGAGCCTGCAGTCCAGCGTTCCCCAGCCCCTCCTCACCAAAGCATATGTTTGTAACACTTCCATCCATCGTGAAGCTTATTCCCTGCATGCACAGCAACAGAGAGTAACACGGCCTCATGTAAAGAGGCAGGATGCTTATCCCAGTACTTGAGAGGAAAATCAATGCTGTTTAAAAGTTCAGCATTGACAACATGGCTTGGATGCCTAATCTGACTTGAAACCATTTATTTAATCTAATGTAAGAGGGGCCTGAGCTAATGCACACCACAGTCATTTATTGTTCACTTTTTAATTTTTTTTAACCCTATGGTGAATCCCAATTGGGGTTGTGAGTCTGAACTGACTGTTTTTCAGATAATGTTGAAAGTGCTTTTATTCTCTATAAAAATAAATACAACATTGGATACAATATGAATCATTCATAGACTCACCAAGTTTTGGTTATGATATACTGCTACTATAAAATGGTTAAGCAAGTTTTATGCTTATTTATACTGAATTCTATTTTACTGTAATATGGCCACGTGTTTTAAGAGGTAAACTTTACTATTTTACCCAGTCTCCTTCTCATTTAATCGTTCATCAAATAATATCAGAGCTAAGACTGGCCTCCTATTTCTAGAGTGCTGTGTTCACAGTATGATAGTTCATTTTCCAGAATTTTGTATCTGCTTGAAATAACTGATAAAATATATTGAAAATTATGCTAATGGATAGTAGGGTTGGTATTTTTTTTCAGCTTGCCTTCTATGATCACTACTAAATTTATGCATTTTTAAAAAGAAGAAATACTATAGCAGTCTGGCTTCTCTTACTGAATTGCTGAAGTACACATACTGGCATGTCAGTGTGCTGGTACAGTAATAGAAACATTGCCCGTTGAAGACCTTCTCAATTTAAAAGCAGCTTACCATCTTGACTTAAAAAATAAGCATATTTTTATCTCATTTTTATGAAATTGCTGCAACAATTCTTCCTTTTGCGTAGCCTTGTTTTCTATGGATAACAAGTTAGGACATTTGACTTTTTACAGTCTGGCATCCTATACACCATGGATTAGAATCCATATTTTATTTTTTAAATAACATTTGCTCAGTTAACACCAAAACACATGCAATAATTGTGTTCTGCCATTATATCTCAAATCTGTCTGCATAAATCTTCTCTGCAGGCAGAAGCAGGCTCTGATATCTGTGCCTTTCCTCAGTCCATCACCTCCTGTATGATTGTTTGAAAAAAAAAAAAAAAAAAAAGGAGGCAAATTGTAACGGCTATGTGGTTAACACTAACAGCATATTCCCTGAGTAGTCTCCTGATAACACCTAAAAGTTAGAAGCGACTTCCAGACAATAAAAATGGAAGGTGTTGTGTCAGTTGTGTAATTTATAGAGTAGCAATGGCTTGTCCTTATGTAAAGTTCTTCCCAGTTCTGTTAGTCATTTGGTTTACTCAAACTAGCTTAATAGTTAGTCGAGAAACAAATCAGGGTAAGTTACTTTATTTAAACATGGACAAAAAAAATTAAGAAATAAAAAGATGGGTGAATAAGATTTTTTTGTCTTTTTCCCCCAATCTGCTTTCCCACGAAAGAGCTACATAATTTCTAAAGGGTATTTACGTTTTAGTAAAGTCTTTTGGTCACTTAATGTACATTTGCTTTTTGATTACACAAATGTTTTTGGAATGAAATAAAGAACAATTTTCAGAATCCAAATATTCAACATTTGAAAAGTTTGATGATTTTATTATGATGAAGTATTTCAATGATAACATATTTGGCTGTGTCACTCTAAACTAACTTTCATCGTACTGGATACATTAATACTCTTGCATGTCTTTTGGCTTTTGCTCCTTTTAACTTCTGAATTCCTCCTTTTAGGGCTATATCAGTGTAAGTGAAATTAGTGAGCTGTATGGCAATTCCACGAATATATCCCCTTCCACTCAGCCCCCCACAGATGCTGAAGCAGTTGCCACTGAGCCTTCCACGGCTGTGCTGACGAGCCAGCCACAAAATAAAGAGGTTTGTTTGAGAGACATTTCCCTTTGTTTGCATTGTTCTTTCATGGCTGCCTTTTTCTTTTCTTTTTTTTCTTTAATTTATTTTATTTTTTGGTAATTCAACATGTAACAAATTGACCCTAAGGCAGACTTATGTCTGCCAATTACTGAGTCGGATAACAGTTTAATAGTAAAGCTGAAGGAGTGCTCCAGTTGTAAAGTGTCTTTGATGATGTAGATGGGACTTTGAAAGACGAAAAACCTGACTGCTTATGGCCCAAGCAGCAATAAGTGACGAACTTTGCCTGTCAAACACCACATCGTAATGCACCTTTGGTAAATGGTCTGTGGACACGCTTAACGATTACTTGATGAATGGTGCTTAGGGGTTCATTTTGTATATTTTGTAGCTGCTTTTTTTTTTCCCTCTGAGGTGGTAGAAGTATATCTTGAATATTTGTGGAGCTGGGTAGCTTCTACTTATCTTAGCTATTCCATGGAGTCTGTCCAGTCTGTGTCTTCCGGCTTACTCTCTCTTTTCCTCGGTCTTGGTGATGTTTTTGCCTTTGTAATGACCCTAGCAAATTTTGAATAAATCCCCTTATAAAGGAATGGAATAACCTTATGAATGTAAAGCCACCTACCTTTGTGTTGCAATAAGGTTTAGAATTTGGCGTTTCTGTGCTGCTTCTGGCAGTTCAATATGCTTTAAGATGTGCAATACAACGCATCTCCTTTCCTGCTGTATGCTCCAACAAACACAGTGCTAAAACTGCAGCTTGTATGTGCCATATCTTTTGAGCAATTCCAAAAAGAAAACTCTGTGTGTAATTTCTCTTTTTTCTATAAAGCTAAGATCACCTCTCTGTTCTGGATTTGTGTTTCCTCACTCTCTTTCTCCTCGCTCTATTGCTCAACTTCCATCAGTCCATTGGCCTGAGGTCATGGCTACTCATGTAGATCCTATTCCTTTATCTGATACACCTCCACCTCTGCCAGCTAAGAAACACCGCAGGCAACAACAGGTAACAGATTCAAAGCTGATAACTTGGCATTATTTTGTTTAGTGTTTTGGGTTTTGTTTTTTTTTCTTATGGTGGCTGTGAAGGTGATTTACCTGTGAAGTTTTTAGTGATATGATAGATCATATCACACGTTGATCGTGCTTGCAGAGTGTTGCACCCAAAGGCACTGCTCATTTAAAAACCAACACAATGCATTATAGAATATTACTTAACAAAAGTTCTCCTTATATAAACAATCTAGAGGCACTAATATTTAGGAGCCATTGTAACTATCATAAGACTTGCAGCAATAAAGTACAAGTGGCTACATTTGAAATCCTAAATTAATTTTTCATATGCATTTGAACAATGCCTCTCAAAATCTGTATGGGTTTTAAGCCACCAGTTCATTAGAATAACTTGTAAATAAATGTTTTTGTTAGTAATTGGATTCCATTTGTATACTAGAGGCTTTTTAAAAAAAATAGGTACAGGGACATGTACATAAAATCTACATGTGAATTTAATGTATTTTCTTAATCAGCATGATTTTAATGTGATATTTGTAGAAATCTTGGAAAGCACTGTGAAGGAAGAGGTACTGTGTATTTTAGATTCTGTTCTTTCCAGTGAAGTTCCCAGACTATCACCTTCAGTATATTCCATATAGAGCATAACTGAGCAAGTAGGTCAATTCATTTTGTCAAAACTGTAACAAATTACATTTGAAGCATTTCAGAAATCTGGAAGAGCGAAAGAAGCAGCACAGGGAATGCATGTACATGAGTGATACTTTACCTCGCAAGAAAACGACTCCATCTGTATCACCGCACTTCAATAGTGCTACGCTTGGACGAAGCGTTGCATCTAAAGTACGTAGTTGCATGCTATTAATAGCCTTCCAGTGCCTATATAAAAACCGGTATTATGTTAGAGGTAAGGTTGGGTAGCGCTGTAAGCATCATGTAATCCCTCAAATTCACATTTGAAATTGATTTTGAAAGAAGTTCAGGTTTATTAACATATGGGAATATACATGAAGCCTTCTGTACTCCCAGCCTTTACTCTGACCTCTGTAAATGCCGTGCTGTAGCACATTGATCATAAATGCATGCTTACTATCTCACAGATTGTATTTTCAGGCTAGTTTAAATCGATTCTAAAGTTTGTTGCCTTGCTACCTAAGGCCTCTGAACGGTAAAGATAAGGTTATGTATAAAGTGAAAATACTCTTTATTTGTCACATGGTAAATAAACAAACAGCAGGAAGGTGGAGATACTACTTTGAAAACATTTTGGCCTAATAGAGACTGTGGACAACTAAAACATCCATGGCTGCTTGATATGACATGATGTTGATACCCACAACAAAGCAAGTTATTTTACCATTAGTTGCTGATACAAAAAAAAGTCTTGAAATGTAGTTTTAAGCACATATTTACAAAATTTCCTGCAGGGACATTTACCATTAGGGCAGAGCAACAGCTGTGGCAGCGTGCTTCCTCACTGCCTGGCAACCATGACCAAAGAGTCAGAGTCGAGAAGGATGCACAAAGGTAAGACACTTTTATTTCATTCATTTGTTTAAAGTCAGTGTTCAGTTTTTCAGGAAATAAGCCTGAAAACTGGTGCTGCTATAATCAACAGCACTGTAAAATGAAAGTTTACTTCTTGATGAAAAAAGCAAGCTCTAAATGTAATTCAGATATTGGCAAAATAAGATGTTAAGATTATGACATAAGTGCACATGTAGTTTTGAAGTACATGGTCACCGAACATAATCCAGTAAACAAGAAAAGTATATTGAAAAATAATACGCAGTGGGTGAACTGGGTAATTTCTGTGAGTGATTCTGAGGCAATATATTACAATTTGCTTTCTTTTTTTCTGCCCCCCCCCCCTTTTTTAAATAATTCTTTTAATGTGATCTTAAAAATCATTTTTCACAGGCATATATTTTTGCCTGGACAAATTCCCCAGAGATACCTCTCAGAATATGTAACTGCAGTATAATAAGTGGTCTTAAATATTAGGGCTACAAAATAGGAAAGGAGAGAGTTGTTCTATCATGGATAGATAGCTGCGTTTTTGTAATAGGGACATGGCAATTCTGGATCCAAGAGAAAGTTACATCTTTGAAACATGATCTTGTAGCCTATGGGATTCTGTGTCTGTTGTTTGTCGACACACTGAGTTTCTGCTTTAACGAGATACATTATTCAGAGGTGTCCCATCTTCAAATGGAGTTGCTCCTCAGAGCCATCTGTCAGTTTATTTTCTTTCTGACATCTGCATCGTTGTTATCAATATAAGTGCAAGAGGTCCTTATGCAGAATTGCACTGACTAATCCTGAGCTGAGACAGGATCCATCCTGTTGCTATAGGACTTGTCAGAGCTAGCAGCTGTTGAAGGTCAAAGAGCATGGCTGAGGTCAGCCTTAAACACCAAGATGACTCAATACAGGGGTGGAACAAGCTTGCTGAGAAAGAATCATGACTTACTACGTTCACTTTATAGAGCTGACCCAGTTGTGATTAGTTGGTTTTGAGCTTTAGTGATGCAGCAAGCCTTCCACAAACCTACTGTGTGGTGACTAACTTATCTTGAATTATTCCAGATGTGATACAAAAGGAGCTTTATAATCAGCTTGGAAAGGTTCGTTGTTGTAATATGTGTGCAGGGGTGGCATAGCTTGCAAGTACATTCAGACTCATCATTGTGCCGTTGTGCGGAAAACTCTTTGTTTCAGTTTGAAAATCAGTAACAAAGTTTTGGGTAAACTTTGATGACAAGAGATCAACTGTTTAAAATTGGAAATATTTCTGTAAAATGGTTGCAAAAGAGCATTAGTGTGCTAACGATCTAAAACACAATTACCAAGTGTTACCAAACCTAATACATGCAAAGGTAAGAGTTTTAAAAATAAATCCATCAGGTTTAACGTTTAATTTTTTTTTTGTCACCAAGCAACTGAGACAATTCTAAGAGTAGAGTCAGATTTCTTCTCCTAAGAGTGAGAAAGAAGGAAACCTCACAAACCAAAACCAGATTATGGCCTGACAAATAAGAGGGGCAGGGGGGAATGAGAGATGTATTCATTAAGGCACTTGGCACAGTACTTGTCACATGCCGTGAGAAATCGTGGTGTGCTATACTGCCTGCCGTACTAGTTGACCATTATTTTTTTGAAAGATTCAACAGTTTGAATGGAAATACTAAACTATGAAGAGAGCCTTAAGGGACTAATTTGTACTGGGAAAGAGGACAGTTGTAGATGTCTTTTTCTGAAATATCAGCTTTGCCAAAGGGAAATAATGCTGCTGACAGGTGCTTTACTTGAACTGTCACAGGATTTGCCAAGTGAGAGAGAGTCAAAACACGAAGGATATGGGAACGCAAGGATTGTTTGTGGCTTGACTACCTCTCTTAGTAGTTCGTGAAAGGTTTATTCCCTTTGCGTTCAACATGGAGCTCCCTGAATTTTTTGCTGTTGGAGGAGCTTGAAGAGTATAATTGCTTTCTCATGCTCTCAAGTGCCATGTTTCTAGGTTGGGGAAAGCTTCTTTGTCTTGGTAACACACCACAAAAGTTTTTGCACGGCTCTTTCTGCACCGCAATGCAGAACTCAGCCGGGACAGAGATGTCCAAGTCGAGTGACTGGAGTCAGATCCTAGAGTATTTCTATCCAGCTGTAGAGAAGGGCCAGAGAAACAGTCTTCAGGCACCTTTCGTTCAACCTTATAGGCACAACCTTAATAAATGCCGTGGTACGAGCAGGGAAGGGACTGAGTTCAACTTTGTGTGATTTCTAGTTTCCCCTAGCACCTCATACCCACGCTCAGCGCCAGGAGGAAAAGCAAGCTTTTTTTCAAAGTTACAAGTAAAGAAAGTGCATTTCTGTGGGACAATGAGATTTGGGAAATGTTTTGAACGTGGTGTAGGATTTAAACAGACCACACAGTACAACTGAAATAGAATACTATTGTCAACTAAAATTCTGAAATCTTATGTGTAGCTTCCACTAAAATCAGTGGGGCTTGAGTCTGTGTAACTAAGATTAATTTCAGCAGACATCCTTAAATACTTAATTGAAAACCAAACCAAATGTCATGTCAGTGGACGTGCTTGGCCATGTTCTTTTATCAGAGAGTGATGGAATAAATGTTTATTATATAATAAATACACTGTATTTCTTATAAAAACATTCTTGGGGTAGATCAGGTTTGCCTTTTCAGAATAAGTGAATGTTTTGGAGGAGTAAATTGTTCTACCAAATCAGTGGAACTCTGCAAAGGTACAGATACTGCTTATACTGATAAATTATTGCTCACTTCTCTTCCGGCTTCAAAAATTAGTTGTTCACCTAAAACAGGTGATGAATAGATAAAAAGTGTTCTCGACTTGTCACGTGTACTGAGCCACTGCTTGCTTTCCTTGCGTTTCTTTTCCCACTTCACAGGTTTTTCACTCCATCAGTTTTATGCATTCAAGGTGATGTATTGCAAACGACATGGGGGTCTCGGGTGACTAATACCTTGAGCATACAGCCACACCAAGGGCAGTGGAGCTGGGTGTGCTCGGCTCAGGGGAGAGCCAGGCTCTCACGTGATAAATGCCACTTCATCCACGCAGTTTGGAGCACTGGCTATCATGCAGCATCCCAAAAACTGCAGTACAAAGAGGATGATGCGCTCCTGAAGCAGTATTAGTAGCTTACCACCTTCCTTAGGGCTTAAAAGCATTGAGCAAACTTCTAGACCAGTTGTTTTGGTATATTTGTATAGATCTGAAAACAGATACATTCAGCTGTGCCTGGAGGAAGTGGCAGCTCAGCTAGTTTAAAGATATTGCCTGAAAATTATCACTGAACTAGTAATGGCCTAAATGAGTTTTCTCTAATATGCTTTCTCCAGTTTTTCTTATTTCAGTCCAAGAAGGTAAACGTAAAAGTCCGAGATGAAAAATTCAAAGTTAAAAATGAAGTCAGGAAATGAAGAACAGCCACTTGAGTTTGAACATGAGTTTCAATCTAATTTTCTTTGTGCAGGAATGAGTAATGTCTATGAATAAATTTTAGTCTGGATCTAGTGGGAAATATTTTCATAGATTTTAAGTACTACATAGGTTTATTCCAGGATTGCCAAAATTGTGTTTAGTCAGTCATGCGAGTTCAAGAATTGGTCTTGAAAGAAGCAGTCACTGTCAGTGTTAAGAGAGACTTTTAAAATGTTTAAGAGGACACATCTTTGATATAAATGATTAGTGGAAAATGCTATTCCTTAGCAACCATTCATGAGGTATTTTTGAAGGACTGTATATATAAATTCACCTTCTGTGTACCTGCCTTTGTAAGCAAAGTATGTGCAAAAAAAAAAAAAAAAAAAGAAACTGCTACAGTCTAGAGACCTCACTCTGCACAGGTCAAAACTTGGTCCCATCAATTGCAGGATGGACTCCGGAAGGGAAGAGGGAATGATTAGCTGGGAGTTAAGATGTAAGACCAGACACAGCACTGGGAACAAAACTGTTGGGACAGAGAATCTAGGTACCAGCACGATGATTATTTGTATTCTTTTTAAGCTCTACAGAAAAACAGTGTACTGAGGGCAAGGTATATATGTACAAGCAAGTACAAGCTTTTCAAAGCAGTTTGCTTTGTTTTTTTTTCACTCGTTTCTCTTACCGAACTCAGGAAAAGCCAGAAAAGGTATGAAAGAACATACACCCCTTTACCTGGCTGTATCTATCATTGTCATGTTTTGGCAAAAGTATCGATTGCATAAGCACTGTCAGGTAGTTCCCAAAATCTTGGAAAACTTTTAAATAATTGTTAAATAATGATAGCACTTCAAAAATTCTTTTTTTTTCCTGCCATCAAATAACCTGTCACAACAAAACTTCTGATTAATGCTGCTATTTGCAGAGCTACAACTTTGTGCAGGCCTAATTTTTTTACTTCTTTGCTCATAGCCACACAAGTAGAGCAGAAAATTTAGAAATCTTTGCAGATCTGTGGATGACAATGACAAGGCAGGCAGACTTGGGCTTCCTACTTTGGTGTGTTTCCATACAAAAAATGTATCTTGACATGTTAATGTCAATCTTTAAAAAAAAAAAAAAAAAAAAAAAAAAAAAAAAAAGAAGTAGTACTGTGATCTTTTTGATCTTTTTTATGAAATACATACCTGACAGTGCCACTTTCAATAACAGCTTTCACCTATAGTTCTGACCTCACCATAATTTTGTGGTGGTATATCTGAGTTTTGTTTTTCTGCAATAACTCCTTTGGAATATTTTTTTTTAAATGATATGGCTTTATGGATATTTGCAATATTTTGCTCAACAGTATGGCTGTTAACAGTGTTTAGTGTTTTACTACAGAGAATACAAGCCAGTGCACCAAGAAACATTTTAGCTCTTGTATCAGCTTAGACTTGACTGATACAAGTTGTGGCTTGTGGGAAACTTTTAGTGAAGTGCTGGATCTTATGAGGAGTCTATTTTTTAAGTGCATGTTCTGTGAATAGGCACCTGAGCAGTTAAAAATTCCTTAAGCCAACGGGTTGTGCCTGGATGATGTGTAAGTAGGGCTGTCATGGAGGCAGGTTGGTTGTGAGCCTTCTTGGCGCTGGTAAGCAGCGGATCCTGAGCTTTGAACTGCCTGTTGCTTATGGCATGAGGAGAAAATGAGAACATTGAGTTATGCTTTGTTTCTGTGAATGCATCTCATTTTGAGACCTAACAACTATATATTTGTTGCAGTGTTTACTTACATTTGCATGAGTACATAAATTTAACTGATACATGTTTTACTTAAAAATGGGTTCTTTATCTTCATGGCAAGCCGACTGTCCTTTAGGAGAGAGTTTGTAAAACTGGTATGTTTCTCTGTCCCTTTAAGATGGGTTTATTTTTCAGTGAAATATAAGATACAGAATTAAGATTTATGAGTGGGCAAGGTTTTGCAAAGGGCTCAATAGAAAAGCATGCATTTGAATAAAGTTCTTTGAGTAATTTGTTTTTTTCTCTCTTTCCATAATGAATAATTGATAACCATTTCACAGGAGCAATTAGTCATTCCAAAGGTTCGAGTATGAAAGGTAATTGCTTATCTGCAATAACAGCAGCATTTGCCATAATAATGGGAAAAAACCCCAAACTGCACGTGTGAATCAGTAACACCTGTGTTGGGTGATGCTATTATCTATGACTGCCGAGATGTATTTGTGTCCCTTTTGCCTCTCTTACTAATCGATGCAATTGAACTTTTATTGAAATTCAGTGTTCTTTCAAATGGCAAGTAAAGTCCTATTAGTTCCTTAGAAACCAGCTTTAATTGTCTGCCAGAAACCTTTGTATGGTACAGAGGGAAGTGAGGTGGAAAGAGGAAACTGTCTGCTTTGGAAATGCTTGTAGGGCATGATTTCCTTAATAATATGCTTTAATTATTCAGCTTCGGTCATGCTTTTCAGATACCTTTTGGAGAATATTATAGCCTTTCCGAGGTAGAGCTGCCGTTGTTGGCTCCCTTGAACTGCAACTCTCCCCACTCCGGCATGGCAAAAAATACCAGACAGTAACCTTGTATGTGCAGACAGAGAGTGAGAATAAAGCAGGCAAATATTCCCACTTTAAGCATGCTATTCTAACATCAGTGTCTTAATGGCGTCTAGTAAAAATTTTTATCTGGACTTTCCTGCATTTGTACATTTGTCTGCTTTTTTCCTGTGTCTGTTTATCTTAAATACATGGGATGTCAGTGGCTGTCTTCCTGTACGAATGGGAGGTTTTCATGTAGTCTAACAGGCCTTCCCAATCTCCTGCTCAGATTTTGGGTCAGGAATGTGCAGAGATTATTATAAACTTGACTGAGTATCAGAACTGTGAGAAATTCTCACTTCTTGCATTAATTGAAGGAAAAGCTAAGCAGTGCAGTTGCATTTATAATCACATAGATTAAACAAGCCCTAAAAGGGCACTGTAAAATAAGTTCAGCAGATAGAACAACAACTGTCATTATACTCTCCTCTTCATCCGGCAAGCTCAACAACCTCTCTGTAAATCTGTAGCAATACTGCTGCATTATTTACAAAGAGCAATGGAGACAGGAGATAAAAATAATTCTGAAGAATTTTTTTTTTTTAAAGGAGACGTAGCCAAAGTTCGTTCCCTGTGTTCAAGAAGGATGGCTTTTCAGAAAGGATGATTTTGTGGAAAAATAACAGCACAAAGAACTAAATGTTGCATAGAACTTATTTTTTATTACAGTCATTGATCTGTAGATATCTGCTTCAGTCATGTAGGGTGAACTGCAGTTTCAGAACTCCAGGAAAGTACCTCTACACTAGCAACTGTGATGATGTGACAAGTAGCCTGTATTATTTCAGCTGAAGCTAAAAGCCCACCTGGCAGTTATCAGAAGGCAAAGTTCCACAAACAGACAAAAAATAATCCGTGTTCAGTAAAATTAACCAAACAAGTACTCAAGACGATTGACTATCAGGACTTTTTTTTTTTTTCTCTCTTTAACTTAATCAGTGTCAGTTCTTCTGCATCCCTGAATTTAGCTGCATTACTTTCCAGATCAGGCCAAATTTTCATTTTAGACTGAAAATTTCATTCATTCAGATTAAATTTTCATAATACACATACAAGAAAATACATATTGAAAAGTCAGCCTTTGTATCCATCATAGATAAAACAGACATTTAAAGATTTTTATTTCAGTTATGATTAACTTGTGAAATTAACCGTAATATTCTAGTACCTTGGTCACAGCGCAGTTAAGACTGAGGTGATGTTCAAAATGCTTGTGCTGCTAACACTTTATGTTCGGGTCACAAAATCTCTGTGTAAAATAAATGTTTCCTCTGTACTCTGTAGGGTATAACCATCAGCGTATCTGTGAAAACCAAAGGCAAAAGTCTCCTGAATTCTACAGCAGAACAGCATCTGAATCGAATGTGTATTTGAATAGTTTCCATTACCCAGATCGTAGTTACAAGGACCATGCCTTTGATACGTTAAGCTTAGACAGTTCTGACAGTATGGAGACAAGCATATCGGCGTGCTCACCAGATAACATCTCCAGGTAACTCATCTTTCTTTCTGATGTTGTAATGGTCATAGGGTTATAATGAAAAAAAGAGCATGTACATGTTGATGCTATAGTAACATGAATGCTGCTAACTGGTTAAGAAAATACAAGATCATTAGACAGGCATAATATTTAGTATTTGTGTAGCCCTTCATAATCAGCTTTAACTGTCATCTTACCTGTTTATTTAAAGATGGAAAATAAAAATATGGAGAGGCCAAGTGATAATGTTGAAGGCCACTGAGAAATCAGTGTCAGTCCTTGAACTGAAGTTATGAAGTTGTCGATGCTCTTTTCAGCGTGGGTAATACCTAAGCTTCCTTCCCTTGGTCACTACAGGGAACGAATTTCCTGTGATAGGAAATTTCTCAAAGACATCTGCCAGCGATGAAGTACGCTTGTTCTGCAAGTCCAGCATGTTAACTGCCTAGAGCCTTACGCTGAAACACTTAGGGCTCCTCTGGCAGTCTTTTTTGCCCTTTCCTCTCCCTTTTCTGGGTCAGTAAAAACAAAGATGACACTGAAAGGCTTAGAGCCCTTGGCTGCTTTTCTCATCTTCAGAGGCTGCCAGCGCAGACGCCACTCTTCAGATAAAAGGAACATAAATGGTCTGTGTTAAAAGTCCAGCTGAGTCTCAAAATTGTGTGTGAACAATTTTCTTCTGACAGTCTGGTTTTAATGATAGTGCTTACATTTAATTTAATTTAATGATATTAATGATTTTTGCTCACAGTCTTTCCACAGTAGTTTCACAAGCATAAGTGGAGGCTGATAATTAAGTACAATGTTGTCATGGGATTAAGAATCCCTTGTGAACACAAGGACAGCTTTTTTTGGCTAGCATATTGTATTTTATTCAGCATCTGTTTCCTGTAACAGGGTGTCAGCCCACTGATTTCCTCTTGTAGTCTTTATCACAGCAATGTTAAGGGTTTCAGAAAATACCAGCGGCACTCATTCTGCTGGCTGGTTTGTTTATTTTTGGTTGGTTGGGTTTGTTTGTGTTTGTTTTTTTTTTTTTTTAAAGTAGAAACATTAGGACTGGGGTTTTGAGGATTTCTGTTTTGAATAGATACACAGTTGGCAAGTTTCTGATAGCTGGAGACAGGCTGGGAATTAACTCTGTCCCTGCAGTGATCTAACATGGCAGTGATATGAAATCTGTCTCTCTTTGACTTGCTGCTCTGACCATTTTGGAGGAATCTGAGCTACCTCGGGACCATCTTGTAAGTGGAATCTCCAGCCCAGGATGGGGGATCCCCAACTGCTGCTGAATTTCACTGGTGCTTTTTGCCCTTCTGCCCTCCTCTGGCTCTTCTGCAGCTTCCAGCCAATGCCAGAAGGAAAAACCAAACAAAAAAAAAACAAACAAAAAAAACAACCAAAAAACCAAACCAATCCAAAAACCAGAAAAGGACCCGTTACAAGATCTTTCCGTTTCTCACAAGGCAATCTTTGGTGAGGGAAGAAAAGAGTGTGGGCTGATTTTGTTGATAAAACTTGGAAGACAGGCAGTTAATTTTCCTTGACAAAACTTCCATTAAGCAAAATTAATTCAGATTGGTTTAGATGGTGTTTGAGAATCTTTTCTAGCCATATCAGACTTTAAAGGAAAACAATTTATGATACTTTGTTCTGACATATTTAAAATATATGTTATATTTTACATTTTACCTTGTATAAGGCGAGAGAGACATTTTTGCTGGAAATGTATAAAATCTGTCTGTGCTCAAAGTACAGAAGAAACAGAACCACTGTAGTTGTTCATTAACTTGCCAAACAGTAGTTGGTCCAAGGTTCGTTAGCAGCTTATTTTTCGTGGCCGAGGCTTCAGAGATTGTGATCTTCTGCTATTCATTAATTTCTGTAAGCAGGATAAGCAAATGAAGGATGAAAGGATTTAACTAAGCTGAAGTGTTAACCAATTTAATATGGGAAAATCTACTGCAATTAACTATTTAACGGGTTGCTCAAATGACTTTTAATTTATGGCCCCATTGCTTTTACTGAAATTATTTGACCCACATTCTCACGGCCCATCAACTAAGCATACTTTGGCCAAACCAGGCTTAGGCATCTAAGTCAGTGGCCTCATTTTTTTCAGAGACAATAAGCTTTTAGAGTTCAGATAGATTTCAGATGGATTATACCTTTTCTTCTAACTGGGGTTAAATGAGGTGTGTTATTTTTATTGTATTGTATCCTCTCATGAGACACATCCCCAGTATCAGACAGAGAAA